AATGCTATTATGGGCTACTGGACTCTTTTAGAATATTTTGCTGAGTTTACACACCTATAATATTCAATAACAGAACTTAGAAAAAATGGGATATAACGATGAATGTCCATTTTGTATCTGTGTATTCAAAGTGGTTGGGATATATATATAGTTGCATTCTCTTAATGAATGGAATGATTTGTTCTAATGATGTTTGTAAGTAGGATCACAAGTCTGCATCTTGTACAGCAATTAACCACTAAGAAGAATATATGCAGCGTATTATTTGTTTAAAAAAAAAAGAAAGCAGTTACTGCAGAACTCTTCATATATATGTAGTATAAAATAAAATGCGCTATGTGAACATATATAGCAGTTATTTAAAATTTGAGACAAATTGAAAGACAAGAAAGTAAAGCCCATATTAATATGATGAGCTGTAAAATGCTCAAGTCAACAACTTCTGACATTGACAGTCTTATGGAAAACCCTCTACTATTATGGACTATTGGACTATATTGTGATATTTTGCTGAACTCATGCACCTACAGTATTTAAGTGACAATGGAATACCCTTCTCTTAAAAAAATAACCAAAAAATGGGGATACAAATAAACGACCATTTTGTATCTGTATACTCAAAATAGGATAGATATGCAGCTCCATTCTCTTAATTCAATGAATAGAGAGGTTTGTTCTAATAGTGTTTGAGGCAGGATATCAGGTCTGTTCTTGTACAATAAATAACCACTAAGACAGCAATAAGCAATGTATTAATTATTGAAAATGTACTAGTAATCAGTTGTGAAACTGTCTTATTGCTATTTGTTTCTCAATAAAAATATTTTAAAAATTAAAAAAAACTTATTAAAAACATCAGTACTAATGCCCTCTACTTTGTACATGATATACACTTTTGAAGATGTGAATAACTTGTTCCAAAGTTTCTTCATTAAAACCTTCACATCAAACTTGCAATTGTGATGTCCTCATGTCTCATTCTCACACTTACTATGTACTGCATAATCATTTCAGTTATTTCTCCAGAGTTTTCAATATATTCTTTACTATCATGGGTTGAAAATATTTTCTCCAATTCTCTTCTCACTTTGATTATAGTTATTTTTTATATATAAATATAAATTTTTAATATACTCAAGTATTTGAATTTCAGTCATAATGCACATTTTACTATCTTAAGGAATACTTACAGAGTGTTTAGATTTGATAGCATACATTGTTTTTCTTTTGGCAGAACTGGGGATTGAACTCAGACCCCTGTGCTTGCAGGGAAGCACTTATTCTACTGCACCATCTCCCCGGCGATAGCATACATTGGATGAATATATAGACACATCACACTGAGCCCCATTAATATGTACAATTATTACATGTTAATTCAAAAAAACAGGGGCCGGGGAGATGGCTCAGTGGAATAAGCACTTCCTTGGCAAGTGCAAAGACCTGAGTTCAATCCCTGGTTCTGCCAAAAAGACAAAACAAAACAAAACAAAACAAAAAAAAAAAAAAAAAAAAAAACAGAAAAATGGAGGACAGGTAGAAGAGAAAGAGGAGGAAAGAGACAGCATGTTTTCTATCTCAAGCATAAAACATACTTCCTTAGCCTAAAGACAAACTCCTGTTTTCTTCCAAATGTCTGAAATGCTCATTTTCAATATGTAGATCTTTAATCTACCTACAATTGATTTGTTTGCAGTGAAAGACAGAGATACTCAATTTTTCATTTTTCACCAATTGTTTCAGCAGTTTCTTTTCATCCCAAGCTCCCAAAAATATGTTATTCTTGTTTCTGAGCTTTGTATTCTATTAGTCTACTTATACTTTTAACCCTAAACATGTATTATTTTCATAACATAGCAAAACTTTATGTAGAAAGGAATATGAAGCAATGGCAAAAGAGGGACAGGAAAGGAATGGATATGTGGTGCAACAGTATCAGAGAATTTAATTCCAAACAGAGGGCAAAAAGAAGACAAAGGGAAAGTAAAAAGAATTAAGATGTATTACATACATTACCAGCAATGAATGTGATCATTATATTGCAGGCAGCCGAGTTAGATAGAAATATTCTAGGCAGTCAGACCGGGCCAGGACTGCAAGGAGACCGCACAAAAGAGGAGAGGCCTTAGGACTGTGGGAGGGGTGGATGCTCCTTCTGTGAACCAGACCTAAAGACCTAAAGGCCAAACAAATGTTAAACGAGTAGCACCTGGGATTGATATTCTAAATAGGCATGATCACCTGAAAAGACCCAAGTGAGTCACTAGTCCAACCCCCAACAGAGAGAGACCTTGTCCTGTATTCATGCCCACCTGCTACGTGACTCGCTTTCCCATTTGATACTGGATTTAATCAGTTTTACCTGAGCAATGATGCTTGTAATCCCATTTGTTGACCATAGTTTTGTCCCACCTCCTGCCCACTAAGCAAGTTCCCATTCTCTCTACCTTAGCCCCACATGGTTTTAAACTATAAAAGTCCCTGGAAGAGACAGCTTCCCAGGAAACTTCCTGCTTGGGCCCCCCTCCTGTCCCTCTCTTGGACAAGAGCTTTCTTTCTCCCAATAAATATATTCTGCTCATAACCTCCGTTTGTTCCTAAAATTCATTCTTTGGTTTTAGAGAACATGAACTCATGCAGGGGAGGTCAGAAGATCATTTTTCCCTATGTCATTTGGAGGTTCCCTATATGGTTTGGAGGTCACCTACCCAAGATCAGTTTTTCTCCCTGTATCAATTACATAGCACAAATAAACTTTTTTAAAAGAATTTAATTGCAGAATGTCAGAGACTAGCAGTGCTAAGAAATTACTTCTATATCCTGTAAATCAAATCCAAACTTTCCATAACTTCATAAATTCCACTGCCAAAAATGTGTATTTTCAGCCCCACACTATAATATGCCTCTCTCTCAGGTCCTTTAATTTCCTAATAAACCTCCTTATACCTCTTTATAAAAACAATTATTTATACATAAAAAGACCTCTAAATAGTTCTGAGGTAAGAAATTGTAAACAATAATTAAAAAGCAGTCACAGATCACTAGGGAGCCAAAACTTTGGGATACAAACTCAATTTTACACATAAAAAAATTGTAAATGCACAACGACTAGCTTTCCATACTTCACCTTCTGACAGTCCCCATTATTTCACTGGGGTTGGGCCATTCTCTCCAACCCACCAAGACCAAGACCACAACTATCAGAGTAAAAGTAAGACTAAGACCACTAAAACCTAAGAAGCTCCAAGGCAAGATCTTCATTAGAGTAAGATCACCACTGCCTTCATCATCCAATGATCCCTCTAATCATTGTATTCATCCAATACAGAATGTTGCTATCTTTGCCTATTGGGGATCTTAACCACAGGTCCCCACAAAAAATGGCATATTACTCATGCTTTAACAAAGTTATTTGATCCTTCTGAGGACTTTCAGTCATCCCCTGCCAGAAATACATATAGAAATGCACAATAAGAAATGATACTTAGGGGGCTGGGGAGATGGCTCAGTGGAATAAGCGCTTCCCTGGCAAGTGCAAGGGCCTGAGTTCAATCCCTGGTTCTGGGGGAAAAAAAAAAGAAATGATACTTAGGATATTGGTAGATATAGAATTTTAAAAAATGAATTTTTTTATGAATGGCAATCTCACAATTTTACTAATTCATGTAATTATACCTTCATGGATGCTATCTCCTACCTTTGTGAACTTGGAGCACACTTCCTCTGTCTCGTTTATCACATTTGCTCAAAGCATGAATTTTGCACATTTACAATGGATGAATCTATCAGTTGTATACAAAGACTATGCTTCATCCATCCACTTTGCAGCTTCTTTGAGATTATCCATATGCTTTAAAAGATGAAAGCATTAAAGAAATTGAAGTTATCTATGATTGAGAATACAAGTACACTATAAATGGAAAAAGGTTATATAAAGACATATTAGAAATTTGATCCTATTCCTGGCAAATTTATCTAGAAATCTAGATGATTACAATTTACACTAAGAACTAAACCAAGTGAAGAACACTGATTATACAAGTATCTGCTATAAAACTCTTTGGTATTGTTTAATATTAGAAAAATATTATCAGGATGCCTTGGAAGTTATTGCTACAGGGAAACAACTTCAAGACTTTTTTTTCTCTTTTCTTTTTGAGCAAGGTCTCATTATATAGAGTACACTCTCATGCCCAGCCCTCCAAGACTTCTTACAATGGCTAAATTAAACTAGTCAAAAAACATGAATAATGGGGTCACAGAGGAAAGTGATCGATGAAGTAGAATGTGTCTAAGGAGACTCACATGGAGAGAAAACATTCTCTCAGGCTTTCACAGAAAGCACATTGCTCAAGCAACGGCTGTGACTCATCCACATGGCTGACACTGACAAAGGATCTACAAACTGCAGTACAGGGTTTCAGGATAAATCCTGAGCGGATTTGACTGACCTTGTCAGATACAAAAGTTATATTTCTTGTTATATAGGTCTTGCTTTATCTTGGTCTTAACCACCCAACAGAAAAGTATAAAAACAAAGTATAAAAAGTAAAGCCATAGTAATAGGCTGAGCTGTAAAAGGCTCAAGTCAACAACTTCTGACGTTGCCAGCCCTATGGATAACCCACTACTATTATGGAGTACTGGACTATATTGGAATATTTTGCTGAATTCACACAGCTACAATATTTAAATGACAATGGAATACCCTTCTCTGACTAAACCAAACAAAAAAGGGGATACAAATGAAGGACCATTTTGTATCTGTATATTCAAAATAGTTTGAATAGATATACAGCTACTTTCTCTTAATTCAATAAATAGAAAGAGTTGTTCTAATAGTGTTTGTGGATGGGATATCATGTCTGCATCTTGTACTATGAATAACTACTAAGAACACAGCTATATGCAATCTAATAATTATTGAAACTGTCCTACTAATCAGTTTTGAAACTGTCTCATTGCTATTTGTTTCTCAATAAAATTATTTTTAAAAAATAATTAAGATTTTTACCTTGTAAATTTTTGCTTTCATATAAAACAGTTCCATTAGAGTTGGAATACTAGCAAATGCAGAATTAATATAATCCAAAACTAAAGAATATTGTTCAAGTTTATCAAAGTGCTGTGCCAGCAAATCCTGAACCCAGAGTAGAGTTGTTGGGGGTTCCTTCTCACCATTTTCTGCAATCAAATATTAAATTATTATAAGAAAGAATTCTAAGTAAAGCAGGGCATATACTTTCTCTCTAATCGTTAACATAATTAGTAGATATTATAAAAAAGAGTAAAAACGCAGCAAAAATTACGACATGCAAAAGAAAGAGCTGACTTCATGTCCTAAAGTTTCGTGCAGCCAAGAAGAAAAAAAAATCTTAGTTCAACAGGCTTCTAGCCCCAATTTTCCTCCAAAGAAATAGTGCTGAGGAAAGGTATAAATCCATCTAAATCCATGAATTCTCAGGCTGAAAGCAAAATGAACATGCAAGAAAAATTCAAAGAAGGAAACCTGAAGAGACTACCACTGTTCAGAGGTGGAGTTCTAAGGGGAGAAAGTTTTATTGTTCTCCTATCATAGAGTCGAAATGTTATTTCTACATGGAACTCTGAATGCCTTCACTAGGCTGACAAATTGGGTCCCATAGAGTAAAGGGGAGATAAAGAGCCTTTCGAATTCTGGTGTGCACATAACCTGAGTTCTTGCCGAGCCTATTGAGTTATATTGAGACTCAAGAGGCTGTGCTTCGAATCCCTGTTCCTTGAGCCTTACCACAATTAAATTAAAACAATTAAAAATAATATTTTCTTTTTTGGCAGAAACAGGAATTGAACTCAGGCCCTTGCGCTTGCCAGGGAAGTGCTTATTCCACTGAGCCATCTCCCTGGCCCATTAAAATTAATTTTTCAAAAATTAAAAAAAAAATTATGATATAAGGACGTGATATTCCCAACCTGGCCTGAAAGAGTTCGTGTTCTCTAAAACCGAAGAATGAATTTTAGGAACAAATGGAGGCTGAAGGTAAAACTTTATTGGAAAGGAAAGCTTCTGTCAGAGAGGGACAGAAGGGGGTCCCAAGTGGGTTGCCCAGGAAGCTGTCTGCTTCAGGTTATTTTATAGGACAAAAGTATGCAGGGCCAAGGTAGAGACAAAGGGGTCCCACTTAAGCAGATACAGGGTGGGACAAAACTATGGTCAACCAATGGGATTACAAGCACCATTGCCCAGGTAAAATTTATTCGGCCTAGGACCAAACGAGGTAGCGAGTCGCATAGCAAGTGGGCGACCTTATCTGGTGGCCTTCAGTCAATGATTCTTTTTTTTTTTTTTTTTTTTTTTTTTT